AGCTAGCTACTGGATGGCTCAGACAAGTGTTACTGATCAGTCAGTTCTGAGGGCAGTAACAGGATTATCATAGGAATTTTGGGAGGTTATCAAAAGTCTCAAAATGATTATGTAGCTGGGAAATTGTCACCCCATCCCTCACAAATGCTTAGGTTATTAAAACAGCTAATTTTTATTACTAGAAAGTTCTATGAACCTGCCTCTCTTGAAGATGATAAATGTAACCCTGAAGATTTTTCAAACAAAACAATTACCTGAGCATGCTGAGGAAGACGACCAGAAGCTGATAGTTCAGGAATAGCTGCATATGGACTACTTAAACACCAGACTCAGATTGATGGAAGTTTATTGAACACTGAACAAAAACTGACCGGTCAGGGTTACAATCAGGGCTCTGGAGTCTGACTGTTATGCCAGTCTGTTTCTAAAACAGGCTTTTTGTACAAACAAAGTGTAGCCAGGTAGCAACCAGGTAACTAGGTGTAGAAAGTGAAGGATGGACTGGGCAGCATTACATCATTTTGACTAGCTAAACATAATCGATTTTGTTTCTGATGTATCTAGGTAGCCAGACAAAGCATTTTAAGCTGATTGGCTAAGATACAGGTTTGGGGACCTTCCAGTTGCCCACCATTCCAGGAGTAAGGGACATAGCAAGATGTTGTAGTCTTAACTCTAACAGAGCATACATTTATCTCTAACTCAAACAGAACATGCACTTATCATCTATTGTTTTATTCTAAGCAGCAAGTATGGAACTATTGAATTGCACCCTGGTCTCAGACACATACAGCCTGAGAACTTGAACTTTAATTTCATCTTATGATCAACATGGAGACTTGGAGGCAAAAATGGCTTCTGACATGCTAAAGGTGATGGCACGTGTTAACAGAGGAGCCACAGTTATGGTAAGATCTAAAGTAGGTGCCAACGGAGGGGTTATAGAGTTTAAGCAGGTTACAACAGATAGAGCTTGGGGAGAGAAAGAGGCTGGAAGAGAGGACTGGTTCTGGCTTCTTTCATCTATAGGCATAAATGTATAGGGTTAATATATTTATATGTAGGGCCAGCAAACAAAAGAATGAGGTAGTGGTATTTGAATGAATATTGTCTAAAAGCACACCAACTTTGATGAAGACTTAAGTATACAGACTAAGGAAGTACAAATTCCCTCAGAACAATGAACATACACCCGGTCCCCCCAAGACACATAAATAAGCAACTGAAACCCAAAGACAATGAGAAGGTAGGAGAGGCATTACACAAAATTCTATTAATTTCTTTAAGGAATGAAAGGGGCCAAATGGCAGCATACCCACATTTTGCAAGGGCCAAGAGACAACTTTCTATGTAAATTTCTATACTTAATAAAGACCCTTTAAAAAATGAAGTCACCCAGAAAGAAACAACCCCCTTCCCCAAATAATCATCACCAGATGGCTCATACTTTAAATGTTACAGGGACGGTTCATGTTGAGGAGAAATGACATGAGGCGGAAAACTCAGGTGGTCCAGAATGAAGAACATGGGGAATGGAAAATATCAGAGTGCATGTAAAACGTTGTTTTTCCTCTTAGTTAAGAAAATGTGGAGGGCAGGAGATGACTCAGAGCAGTGGCTCTTCACCCAGAGGACACAGGTTCCAAGGGATCTGACATCCTCACACAGATCATGTGTAGAGGAATTTTAATTCAAAACATGGCTGCTCTGACAAGAGATCACATCCAAAGACATTCTAGGTCTGTGTGATCCAGCTGGAATACACACACAACCTTTAAGTCAGGAGACAGAGGAAAGCAGATCTGAGTTCAAGGCCAGCCTGGTATTGAGCAAGTTTTTGGTAAAGAAAAGCTTAGGTCCATGGGTGATGCTAGATGCCTTTAATCCTAAACAATAAAGGTAAGGTTAGTTTGTAGAAGCAAGCACCCATGTTTGAAAGTGATGTCTAACTGAGTAGCAGAAAAAGTAACGTATCAAAGAATGGTTTGACAGAATAAGATACGCCCAACTGTCAGGAGAAGAAAGAGGAAAAGGAAGCTACTTAAGGGGCAATGCAGAGAGAAAGAAAGAGATCCACATGAGTGAAGATACTTAAGGGCCCAGATTGTTGTTTGGGGTTTCTTTTTATGGGGTTCAGGAAGAAGACTTTGGCTACTATGTGTTACAGTGAGGGTGGATTCTCTGTTTGAGTGATATAAAATGAATTTTCTACTTCACATATCCCTCTCATAATGCATCTAATTTTATTTATCTTGCGAGTGTTTTGTCTGTGCACCAAGTGCACACGGTGTCTGCTGAGACTGGAAGAGGGGTCAGATCCCCTGGCGCTGGAGTTATAGCTGGCTGTGAGCCTCGATGCGGGTTCTCTAGAAGGACAGACAGTGCTCCTAACCACTCAGCCATCTCTCCAGCCCAGCGCACAAATTCAGGTATACCCAATTATGCACAAAGTGGTAGGTAGGCGGTGTTCCCCCGAGAGTTCTCCTGGAACACAAGTTTGCCTCATTGTGCACGTATCCCAAACTAGTTCATCCTGGATCGGTCTCCTACATACACTGAGTACAGCAGGATAGAATCTGTCTAAGTTTGGTAGCTTGGAACACAGAAGGAAACATCCCATTGTTGAGGGGGTTTGTGTGCAGCTCATAAACATGGAGGACCCAGGGGCACAAAATAATGCCATACGCATTAATCAAAGAGAGGTGTGTGCAAAGCCCAAGGCAAGTTAGGTCCTGGGTTGCTACGCTGTGTGTGCTTTTGGTTAATTCTTAAATAAAAGAGCAAAAGCTTGGAATCACCTGGTTCCTGACCCCAAGAACCAGCAATACATAAGCACAAAACAGAAATACATTTTTAAAACTTTATTACATTTATTTATTTATTTATTTATTTATTTATTTATTTATTTGTGGGGTACACAAGTGCTGTGCACAATCTGGGGGAGTCCGATCTCTCCTTCTGCCATGTGGACCCCAGGGATCTAACTTTGGTCGAGGTGCTGGGCAGTAAGTACCCTTACCTTTGCAGCCATCTTGCTGCCCAAGGATTAAAAAAATATATATACTAAGTACATAAGAATAGCTTCTAATGGGAGAGGGAAATAGAAATGTAAAGAGAGAGAAATAGATGTCAATTTAAATGGAAAAAATAGTTAAAAAGTTAACTAATTAATTAAAAAGTTAAGAAATGTTCTGAGACAGAGTAAGAAAGAAAGAAAAGAAAAGAAAGAAAGAAAGAAAGAAAGAAAGAAAGAAAGAAAGAAAGAAAGAAAGAAAAAACCGGTCCAGTTTGGGTGACCCAACATCTATAATTAATACCAGTCTTGAAAGTGAGTAAAAAAAAAAAAAAGAAAAAAGATA